AATTTTGAGCTCAGCAATGCTCCAAAAAACCATAGGAAATGACCCATAAAACCAAATTTTGAGTACAAGTTTGTGTAACGAATCAGGAAATTGTTTGTTACAAATGAGGTTATAAGCTCAAAAAATTTCTACAAAATCATAAAAATAGCGTACTGTTATTGGAATGAAAATGAATTTTTGAAACTGTTTGGTTTTTTTTATTATGCTACCAGACGGTATGGATGCAAGATTAAAAATGTTAGAAAATAAATATAAGCAACTCAAACTTAAAACTGATGGTATCAAAAATATGAGAAAAAAAAAACTATTCAAGCAAATTTAAGGCCATGTTATTCTCCCTAAAAACATTAACAACCAAATGCTTGAAATTGGATTTAACTCGATTTAAAAAACCATTCGATTTATTCTTTTTCTAATGCTAAAATCGATCTCAATTCAATCCATTTTTTTCATGCTAAAATCGATCTTAATCCATTTTTGTCAGTGCGGGTAGCGTTGTTTTGAAGTATCGCCTTTGCATCAAAAGTTTACAATCGACTGTATTTTGTCAGCCCAGATGTTGAACTATTCCATATAAATTCTTTCTCATTATTTTTTTAGCCAGATGAATTTTAGCAGTATTATTGTTCTCACGGTAAGGGAGCTTAAAATTTTAGGGGCATAACAGAGCAAGTAAGCACTCTAGATAACTTTTGAAGAAAATTTTTTCTGAGGAAAATAATCTTCAATTACACAGAATTGTTGGAGAGGCTGAATGAAGCGTCTGCCCAAAAAAGAAAAAATTCATAAATTTCTCCGTCAAAATGAGTGTTTCTTTACAAGACGTTCCTTAACTTCTTCATTCTTTTAAATCTGTTTTTCATTGAGCAAATAATCTTTTTTCAGCCTACTTTCATTGTGCATTAAATAGCTTGGTCATGATGGCTACAAATAGATGCAGGAATCTTGTCACTCAGGTATAATGGTTAAGGCTGAATTCATCTACAAACCAGCAGTGTGGACACTGTCCAGAAGAGAGCCTACAGTCCGGTAGATGGAGAACCCACATCTAATGGGGTTAAAAACGCATTCAAGTACCGTCCTGGATTAAGTTTTTCTATAAACTTTTTTCAATTTCAAATAATTCAATCCAGGGGTGGCTGATTTAGGTTTTCCGGTATTCTGTGTTTTCAGTTTTTAGGAGAAAAACTTCCAGGCTGGCATTTTTCAGGGCGCTATTTATAATCGCTAAATGCCTGCATTTCGACCGGCGCGACAAAAATCTTATGCTTTGATCAAGTTTTACCAATCCATGTTTCGAACGGCGCAACCAAAAACATCTATGTTTCGACCAATTTCAACCACGCCAGATGTTTCGACCGTGCTTGACCTATGTTCCAACAGTGCTTGACCTATGTTTCGACTGTGCTCGACCTATTTTTTGACTATGCTTGAATGTGATTCGATTTTTTCAACTAAAATTGGGTATGTTTTGACCTTGGTCTCGATGTTTTAAGAATGTTTATACTTAAAATTGTTTCTCAACCTCAAAATTTCAAGTCAAAACATAAGCCGAGCGCCTCGACCCTGGTAATATCTGGCTCAGATGATAAAGTTTTGGCCGACTTTTCTACTAAAAAAGCATGAAGCCACATAAATAAAAACCACCAACTCCAAAATTTTTTTTTTGAAATAGCGTTTTTTTGTTATATATGATTAGTTGATATATCTAGTCGGACTTGGCCCATCGTTCACGCGCTGGGTAGCTCAGATTTTTTATAACAAAATACAACCTGTGCCCTAATCAACTCCAAATTGTTCATTACCAGAAACTTGATGACGTATATGAATTAAAAAAGTTAAAATTGGGGCAGCAAAAACTCAAATAGGGTATATGACGTGGTTCTAAGAAAAAATCAAACAGCAATCTCAATTGTTTTCAGCTTTTTTTCTTTAAAAAATAAAAAACAATGCTTAATGGTTAATAAAACTAATTACCTGATGATTTCGAAAAGTAAATTACGTAGTAGTCGCTCAAAGCTTAACAATTAGTTGATACCAGATACTTGCTAAGCTTGCAAGCTGTACAAAAGTTCTAAGAACAAATTTACTAAAACTGATTCAGCGCATATTTGGAGGTAGTTAAAAATCAAAAACAGACATTACAACAAACTAATTACAACAAAAGATCTAAAAATTAGCGTAAATACTATTAAAAAACTGTTTAAAAAAATCAAAACAGAGGACACACAGAAATTAGATAACAAAATAACCTAAATCTCTAAACTTCAAAAACTATTTTTATCACAAATGAATTAAAACTTCTGATACCGGTGCAAGGCTTTTTTCGTCTCGACTGCACTTGATTGTCTATGGAGGAGAGTTTGAAAAATATATAATGTTTTTTTTTTCTGAAAATTATCCCCCCACAAAAAATATTCCCCCACATGCTATTATAAGAACAAAAGGAAACATTTTTAGCAGATTAAAACGAACTAATTAAAACAACTGGAATGTTTCAACTCAATTAGAAACATTTCGTGATCCGGATTAAGTCGCCGCCTAAGCCTGAACAGCAAGAATTATATCGCGGCGCGTTAATTATTCCAAGGTGGCCAAAGTGGCAGTTTTCAAACCGTCATTGCTTTCCACAAATATTCAAAAAAAAACAGTTTTTAAATTTGAACTCAAGGCATCATTTATTTTCAGATTTTAGAAAAAATTCCGGTGAAATGGCCAGTTGGAAACTCAAAATTCGTCTGGAGAAAAACTATCCTGAGCACAGTTTTTCCGTCCTTGTCTTTTGGACCCCAAAGTTTTTCTGGATGACTATGAACAAATTTTATTCGGCAATTTTGTTTCCTTTTTTGGAAATTTTGTTTTCCTCATTTTTTTTCCTTTTTTTTGTTTTCCCAGTTCCTTTTTTGTTTCTTCTCCCTAAATTTTCAATCAAAAGGTTTCTCACTCAAAAAACTGATTAAAAAAAGAGAAAATTCTATTATTATTGCTTTTTCCGATATTGTCCCTAGCAATTAATGAGACCGTTGATATTTGACCCATTTAATGTCTCACAGTAAAACATGTTCAACACTAGATCTGCATAGTTACGAGTTTTTTTTGCAAAAAAAATGGAGGTTTCTGATGCGACTCAATTTAATATGCATTCATGAATTTGCAAAATTACTCTTTTTGTGTAAAAAAAAATCGAAAATCTCACAAGTTTCGTTTTTTTGTTTCCAAAAAAGAAGATCAATTAGTTAGATGAAGGCATTTGCACAAATTGCAAATTTTTTCATACTTCTGATTCAGCGCATATTTGTGAGGGGATAAAAAAACTGAAACAGGCATTACATCAACTGAATTACAACACAATGTCCAACCGTGGTACATATATTATCAAAAACATGATTCCAAATAAATCAGAACAAAAAATTGTATAAACTGGATAAAAAGTAAAGCTTATAAATTGGCTGAAAAAAAAAACAATTCCCGGCAAAGTTTTTCCGTTTTTTTTTTTGAAAATTGGATCGAATTTGTTTTCTGCCTTATGAAACTCTTAAGTTAACTCCGCGAAACTTTTCGTCAATTTCATTTGCCATTATTTTTTGTTTAGTTTCTTTTTTTAAGCAAAGTGTCTGCATAAGCAAAACATGAGCAATTGATGCACTTGCTCAACTTTTAAAACAAGTTTTGGAAAGAGGCTTCAAATAATAGCAGGGATTTCGAAGTTTTTTGAGATCTGTCAAAAGAAATTTACACTGTCTACCACAAAATTGTACATACATTTTTCACACCCGTTGTTGTCCGTACAAATTAATGAAGTCGTTGAAACCTGATTCATTTCATCTTTCCAAATAAAACTTGTTAAACTCAACAACTGCAAGTTTACATTTCTTTTAGCCAAAAAAATGCGGATGCATAATGCGGCTCAAATTAACGAAAGCAATAAATATCAAAAGAACTTCAATGAAATTGCAAAAACATCGTTTTTGTTAATAAAAAACAAAGAAAATCACTTATTCTAATTAACAATTTTCTGAAATTGAAGTTCAATTAGTTAGAGCGATGACAATGTTTGAACAAACTTCAAACTTTTTATTGATATTAAGCATGAATGTAGACACAACTATCACATATACTCAAATAATTTTTATCACATAACTTGGTAGAAACTTCAGATCATTTATAAGAAAAATTTGTAGTAGCAATTTGTTAGTAATACAATTTCATATAGATAAAAATGTTTGTAATACTATTTCAAAACTTAAAAATTGTACAACTAGCATTTTTTTTCATCAAGCAAACTTACAAACAAAACTTAAAAACTAGTTGATGCACAATATTCAATGGTAACAAAACTAACTTAAGAGACTACAAACTCCATAAAAGTCCGAAAACTCTAGAATGGTGGAATTTTTTTTAGTAGCAAATTCTTTTCTATGTACAAATACACATTTGCTGGAATTTGTTTAAAATTCAGTTCAGATATAATGTTTTTCCCACAAAGGTAACGATGTTCAGTTTTATTTTTGTGTCGAGTCAATTTGTAGTAAGGTAAACTTGAAATTTGTCAGTTACAAGCCTTGGTAACTTTCAAGCGGTACACAAAGACTTAAATGTTTTAATTTACGGAATTCCAAAAATTACATGATGGTTCTCCAAATTTGTATTATCTGTGTTCTTCTGGCCTTAATGTGTTGGTTTTCTCATTTAAGAAAATCATTGTTTATTTTATTTAAGGACTAAATACAAAAACATAAAGCCAAGCTCGAAGAACACAGCGGAAAGTAGTCCCACAAAGCTAGTCCTACAGTTTTATAGATCGGAGGCAATGCTCGTCGCTTATTTTCATGCAACGAGAAAATGAAATTCGTAGAAATATCAGACACTTTTCTAGACGTGTGAAATGCTTGCTCCACTTTTGCTCCTTTATTTTATGACTAGCACTTTTTTCCAACTCGAGGCATCAAACAGGTATTATCTGCACCCTTCAGCGTCCGCTCAAAATGGTGCGGAAGGTCATTTAATAAGTTAGTACATTTCTTTTTGTGGTACGTACTTCTAGAAAACCAATGGATTATATCAAGCTGCCTGCAATCTGCACTTTCAAAACAAAAATGAAAAAACCTTGAAAAGTACTTACAAAAGCCATGACACTAGCCATATTTGACGCGACATACTAACTTGAAGTTTTCATTTGGTAAATTGAATATTGAGTTAGCTTGAAAAATATATTTTCCCCTAAAATATGGGCAGTTTCCGTAACAATCACTTCAATGAAAACGAAACTGTTTTCATAATCGTTAAAAAAAGACTTCATTCAAAATTTATTTACCAAGCAGCTGTAACAATCCTAAAATAGATTAGTTTCTGATCAAGCTTGTCTGGCGAAGCTTCGAATTGTTGCTATTTCTTTCGCGAGCAGGACAAATAAATATATAAAGAAGAAATATAAGAGTAAAAAAAAGGAACAAAACAAATGTCTAGAAATTTGTAGACCGGAAAAAATTAAATCATTGAAATATTTGAACCGCACAAAAAAGGTAATTTTTCATTTTGTGTGACAGTTTTATTTAGATTACGCCCCGCTTGCCTCAATTCAGCCATTTTGGTTTATTCTTTTTGGCTAAAAATTTTCCCTAGAAATTAGTGTTTAATGGCGCCATAGCGAAAGCAATTTAAATTGATCGACTAAAAAAAACGATGCCAAAGATGTTATGAAATAGTACTAGTCAATGAAAAAATATGGTGACTAGAATTGAAAATTGACTCAGGACAGTGAAAGTGCGCCCTTAGAAAAAACACGCTTGCTATATTATCTGGAAAACCTGATTTTATGAAAAGCAGGAGGAAGTTAAGATTCAAAACAGTCTGAGTTCAAAGTATAGCAGTATTGATTACCTATGAGCAATTGTTGATAATTGTTAACAAATTGATCGGACCCTGTTGTTAATAAATATATTAATTATTGAAAACTTCAAGTATTCTCAGCAGAAGAGTAAATTTGTTTTTCTGGCAAATTTTAATAAAAAACAAAAAAGCGGCCCTTTCCATGACTATCCTGTAAAGAGATAAGTTTAAAAAAAACATTACAGGAAAAGTTAAATTGTTTGCTCTGTATTTATGGTTGTGAACTGCGTAACCGACAGAGACCTAATGATTGACCCTTTTTTAGTTAAAATAGAAGCAAGTTTTCGTTTTGACGGAGAAGGTGACCGAATATTTGTGCTCGGCTGGCTTTTTTCTGAAAAAAAAATCAATTTTTTTAAAAGCCGTTTTTAGCATATTATTTTTTCTACTATTTGGAAAACGTTGACAACAAAAGGTGAAAAGTTAAAAAAAAATAAACGAATCCGAATTGAAAATTCATTTGAGGCCAGCTTTTTTTCTAATTGAAAAGTTATCAGACACATTTTATAGCACTTTTTACTTAACATGGCGTTTAGAGCGATTAAAAAAAATATCATAATTATTATTTAAAAACTTTTTGAATTAGAATAAAAGGCGGTTGGAACACTCAGATTTTCCTTCTGATACGAAGAGTCTTAATTTTTATCGAAAAAAATAGTCGTTTTTGCTCCATCAATAGTAATTGTTTGAAAAACAGAAGCCCTCACACCAGTTTATTTCGAGACGTAGATAACTGTTTTGAAACATCAGCTATTTAGAGGCCAAACCTCGACTAACTGATACCCTTCTATACTAACTGCAATTTTGTTTGAGTTCTTCGAAATGTACTGAAACTCGATTTTTGAGAGCGTAAAACTGAAATGAGCGCCACGCTTCTTACCCGCCTATTACCGCGGGCGATAACCAACTAAAAAATACAATTTTAAAGCTATAACAGCGATAAAAGCGATAGCCGGTTGCCTATGAAGAACAGAATGTTCTTCATAAAAAGTACATACAGAGGTTCTTCAAATAATAGGTTTTAAATTTAGTGTCGTTTTTCTGCGTAATGTGATGAATATACTTTACAAATGCTTAAAAGATTAGTAATATGGGCATAATTGATTGACAGCATCCGTCTTCAAAAAAGTACAAGAAAATGAAAAAAATTTCAAAAAAGTTCCGACGTTTTTTCTATTTTTTTTTGCTCAGAACTTTTAACAATTTCATCGAAATTTTTTGTCAACAAAAAGCCAAACAAAACGTTTAAAAACATTTTTTTTTCGGAAAAGTTGAAATTTTTTAAGCCTTATTTAAGCCATTTATTTGTTAGCTTTATTCGGTCAAAATTAGACAGAAAGTCAAAGTTTTTAAACCGGTTTTTATCGACTCATTTTTTCTCGAAAAATTTTAGAAAATATAAAATTACACATGACCCATTCCAATGAGAATTTGTGAAACCTAATTTTATGTGGAAAGCAAAAAAAAGAAAAAGAACTAAAACAACCGAATACAAAGTTTTTCCCCATTTTCCAAATAGTCGGAACAAAAAATCAAAACATATGACTGGAAACGCATGTGAGCTCATATTTAAAGGAATTTGCTGCCTGTCTGAATTGTGTTTCATCATAAAAAAAATCAATTCAATATGTAAAAAAAAAGTTAATTCAACAACTTTTTAATATATTTCTTGTATAGATCCTAATAGTTCAAAACTATTGTTTATCATAGAAAACAGTGACAGAATATTTTTGCTCGTGTGGCTTTTTGCGGGCAAATTTCGCCTTGATCGTTTTTGACAAGAATCCTTATATCTGAAAGTAAATGAAGTTTTGAGCTCGATCTTAAGAAACTAAATTCGTCTTCTTTTTTTCAAAATTTTGACTGTTTAAAGTTCGCTAATTTGTCCAATTTTTTGACATTAATGCCGAACATTTTTAGTGCAATTAATGCGAGAGCGATTTTTTATTACAGCCAGATTTTGTTCGTCTTTAAATGGAAGAACCTGTGGAACCTGCTGTGGAACATTCAATAAGGAACCTGCTAAACACTTCACTTGTACTGGGGAGGGTTCTCATACTGGAGGGACCAAATGATGGAAAAATTTAACCAATCAAAATCGCTAACTGTTTCTATTGGCTAAATGCCTTTCTTAAAAAATCGAAGTCAAAATTAACAGAAAATGATAATTGAATAAATATACTAGATGCAGATATAATATGTGCAAATATAATAAATTGAGTTCTTTGTTTTTCCATTTTTCGTAAATCGGTATCCTACAAAATCTAAAATTGCTCCAATCTGCTTTCGATCCGGTAGTATTTTTATGTTTCTGCTTGTTATATAATCGGTCAAAAATAGCACTAATGGTCTGGTTTTCTTAGCTTACTTTGAGATTTTTGCGATTTCTCTAAGATTTTTGAATCCTCAATTCTGATTGGCTGAAAATAAGCCAAAAAAAAATTTCCAGCATTCAATCCCTTCGGCATGAGGGACGCTACCAGCTGTACTTATATAACGTGTCAGATGTTGATTTCGAAAAAAACGTTGATTTTTTTTTAAATTTCGTTTTTTTTTAAAGATTTTATCATCTTTTTTTTGAACCAAAGACTACTCCATAGAATTTACTCTATAGACTTTTAGACGGTGATGTGAACAATCTTTGAAAGATGAAATTCAATAAAGCAATTGACAGAAGATTAAGCCTATCGAAGAAAATGACGAAATTTCTATCTGATTTTTAGTTTTTATTGAAACTTTGTGCAATCATGATTTTTTGGTATAAAATGCCAAGCAAAATAGGAACCCGGGAAGAAGATTTGCGGATATAAAAACCAATGACATATAATTTAAAATCATTCATCCACGAGGGATGGGACCAACATACGAGCTGTACAGCTCATCACGGCGAACCGCTGTTGTGCCCCTGCTTAAGAACTACATGCTATTTTTTTGGTGACATTCTTCTTAAACCTACATGACATTCTTCTTAAACCAATTACATTAGTCTGGAAAATGGTTTTCATGGCTTGATTGATTCTTGTCAATACAAGAAGGAAATTCGTTATTCATTGAGGTTACCAAAAAACGGCATAAACTGAAATTGGGATGCAAGCATGATTTTCCTTGAAAAAATCCGCAGATCAATAGCAGGCTGAGTGTGAATGTGGATGAGAATTTGAGGATGAGTGTGCTAGGTGAGAAACCGTCGTTGCCCGAAAAAAAAGTGGTTACATTTTAAAAAATCTAATCAAATGTAGTTTTAAATGTAAAACGGTGCTTTGCCTAATATTTTTTTGGTTGAAATTTAATTGGTGGCTAGGATAATTTTAGTTTAGCCGTCCTATTAGACTAGTTTGTTTGCGCTTTTCAAAGTTTATATATGAAATTAAAATTAGCAAATCAATGAAGTTTAATCAATTGTTCCGCTATCAAATTTGTTCCAAATTAATTTTGGGCATTATAATTGAACTAAATAATTCTCTTTACAATCAAGTCATAACACTCATTCATAGATATTGATTGTTGGCGGAGGAAAAGCAAACTAGGATCTTACTTTCCAAACTTTCATTTCATCAAAACTACTTCAAACCAATGGAAGGGCATTCGGAACATTCAAGACTACATGCTACCTATGCACCACGAGTCAGCATTCAAGAACTGTTGTTAACAAGCATGATCCTTCTGAAAGAACCAAATCTGTTGAAAACCATAAAGATAAATCTATAGAAAACAACAAGGATAACCGGTTACTGTGCAAGTAACACAGAATGTTCCGACCAGTCTTAGAAAAAATACAAGAGTGTTTTCTCAAGTTGGTCTTGTTTTTTTTTCTACATGTTGTGATAAAAAAATCTCAAAAAAAAGTTAGAACTTAGACATGTTTGAGAGTCATAGTAAAATAGGTCAATTGAAAAAAAAAATGAAAAAAGTTTCAAAATTTTTTTTCAAAAATTTTTTTCGGACATTTTTTTAATTTTCAAGTTTTTGATTCCCAAAAATGCGCTAAAAAACTCAAAAAAACTACCTTTACTTGAGTAAAACTAAATTTTCACGGCTTAAACAAGGCTTAAATAAGCTATGCAATTACTAACTACCTTACTAATTAGCTTAGAAAAACAAAAAAAATTCAAACCGGGTTTTC